TGTGTGTGTGTATATATATATATACTGCTATCTAATTTCTATATACAAAGCATACTACTTAATTTACATCACCTCGCAATAAATGTGCGAAAAGAAGCAAATAAAAAGTGAATGAAAGCTAATCGGACTAATAGATACTTCTTGTGCGCTTTTTTCATGCTTAATTGCAGTACGATGTACAAAAAAAATGATATTCAACCAAATACTATAAAATCATTTTTCTTGTCGTTTTTAAAGAGATTTTTGTAGAATTTTTTAATATCCAATCATGCTAATTTAATTTATTATTATTTTTTTTAAAGAAGATGATGATGATGATAACTTGCAATAAAAAATAAATAAATTGATGTAAATTGTTATTTTTCATTGATATCCAAATTCCAAAATTAATGTTAAGCTGGAGGTAACGGTGGAATTTTTATCATCATTGTCTTTTACATTAAAAATAAACTATAAAAATTATACAGTGTAGAAATTTTAAAAGATACTATAAATGTCTATTGATTTAAACTAATTCATAATCATACTTTAAATATTGTTTGTGAAATTTAGTTGATATATTTAATTTTTGAAAATTCTTGAGATGTTAACTACTATACTAAAGTAAAACGCTTAAACACTTGTAGCTGCATTATTTGAAACACTGCGCACACACTAATATTTCACTATTCACTCTTTCACAATTCATTATTATTTTCACTCGTTTATAATTTTTTTTTTACATTTTGAGCCTTGATATTTTCAAACTCATATTTCGATCTACATATTTATTTGCTCATCCATTTTGGTCATTGGGTGGAGAGAGAAGGTCGAGAGGAAGAGAGAGAGAGAGATCGTCAACCAAGCTCATTTAGGTCATTTTGGTCGACGAAAATCCACTATATTTTTTTAATCTTTGAGAGATGAGTTTGTTCATAGTAGTTTCAAGCCATTAAACAATTAGAGGAGGTAGATCGGAGCCAAAAAAGGAAAAAAAATTCCGATTTGATTTTGTATTTTTTTTTTTACGTGTATTAAAATAATTTTTAAGGTTTTAAATGTGTTTATTGACTCTATTTCGGTCATTTAGAGGTGTTTGAGAAAAAAATGATATCGAAATTCAATTTCTAGAAATCTGAAAATTGACCTTTGATTTTGCGACGAACTTATGACGACCTTGGGTTCGTCAAAAGTTGCAAGATTTTTTTTCTTGTCGGCAAGCAAGGCCTGGCGTTGGCTTGCAATGGCAGGCCCAAGCGCAGCACAGGCCAACTCATGGCCTCCCCGCCTCCTTTTTTTTTTCAAATATAAATCTATAGCCTGGTTGCACAAGTAAACCAGGCACTGCACCCCCCCCCCCCCCCCCCCCCCCCCCCCCCACCTCGCGCGCGCGCGCATATACACCCACCCTATATATACACACACGCGCACACACACATATATTATTGTTTAATTTTTTTTCAATTCTTTATTTTTTATTAAAATTTACATCAAATTAATTTTTTATATGATTTTATTTATTAATAAATTTAGTTTTTTCATACATGAATTTTGAATTAAAATTTAGAACGTCAGTGTTTTATTTTTTAAAATATATTATTATAATTTATACAATAAATTATATGTGTATGTGTGTGTATTAGGCGTGTGTGTCTTTTTTTCTTTATATATATTTTCTATACAATTGTTTTAAAAAAATTTAAACTTTAATTGTATTGTGATTTAGCTCATCTGTTTTAATTTTTTAATTATTTTTGTTATTGAAAATCAATAACTTTAATTTGCCCTTTTTTTCAAATTCTCATCTAATTAATTTAAAATTACATTTAATGATAGTTTTCATTTATTTTAACATTATTCATTCTTTTCTCATCCAATGTAATTTAAAATTATATTTTTTTATTTCAAATTTTAATTGTATTGTGATTTTATCCCATTTTGTTTTAGTATTTTTAATTGAATATTTTAATTACTGAAAATTTACTATTTTAATTTATCATTTTTTAAAAATTCTCATCTATTGAATTTCAAATTACATTAAAAATTTTAAAATATTTTTTTCGTCTTTGATTTCATATATTTTTATACATTCACATGATAAAACAGACTATCAAATTAAAATGATTTTTTCTAAATTTTATACTATCCGTAGCGTAGCGCGGATAAAAAATCTAGTTAGTTCTACATGTAAACCAATTTTTTTTTTTTTCATTATAAATATATGGCATAACCATATTAATTACTTACATTACTCGCATGAAGTTTATGGGAATATAGTTACTTCAAGTTACTATGGAAAATCTCTTTACCAAAACCTATTTTGCTTGTAATTATTTTGTTGTTGTTGTTGTTATGGAAAAAAATCTCAAAATTCGGTCAAGAATTAAAATTTAAGTATAGAAAACAAGATAATTTTGAGTTACTTCTATTCTTTTGTTTCTCAATATTTACAAATAATAAAATATTTTGAAATTATTTTTTGCATCAATCAAAATTAAATTTACTATTTTTTAAGACTAAATCACTAAAAAATAATTATGATGAGTTATTTGTTAATAATAAGAATTGAATTTTAGTTTTGGTAAAATTAAAACAATGCTCTTATTGCTAAACCACGTCATTTTGTGGTAAGTTATTCACTTACTCCTACCTTAAAACATATAAAGAATCATATTAGACTAAGTGTATTTGCTTCCACAATTCTAATGCCAGCTCTCATCTTATTTATTCCAGAATGTTTACTCTCATATATATGATAAAAATTTCAAGGACTGAATACAAATTAATCTATTCATAATTAATTGCTGGACTGACCTGGCTTGATGCTTTGTTGGGAGGGACGCGACCGTTATTGGCTCCCTGTCCCAAAATAATCCGCCTCTGAATCCTGCCTGCCATGGCCCAGCTCTGTTCCGTTAACCCAAACAAAAACTTTCATCAAGTTGAAAGCATATTTCCTTGGTTTGATAAAGACTGACTAACGGTTAAGTATGCATTCCACAAGCCTGCTCAACACAATTGGTAAGGATTTATTTTCGAATATGGAAGGATTTTGGATTCAGGTCCTCGAATAGCATGTGTAATTTCTAATTTTCGTAGGATAGGCTATCAAACGTAAAACTCTAACATCGATGATTCTAGGAGAAGTTTAGATAAAAAAATAAAATAAATATTTTATTCATGAAGGTTAGTTTGTAGATTCACTTAATTAAGGAGTAGAATCTTATACAAACTTACATTATTTTATATTTAATTTATAAAAAAAATAAGAATAATAAAATTTAAATTCATAATCCTTTAGTCATTAAAAAATTAATATCATATTAAATAATTATTTTGAAGATTAAAAAATTTATATTATTCTGTATCAACAGTGAAGAGGATAAATCAGAAAAAATGAGCTGATGAAAAACATTGCCAACTATTTCTAATACTTTTATATTAAAATACCGAATTTATTTAGTCATAACTTTGCATTTATATTCAGTTCCATGCATTAAACGCTGCCTAAATGTTAGGGAGTTTTTTCCCCGATAAGACCAACCAATAGTGGCGGACAAAGGCAATTGAAGGACATCAGGTAGCTAGTCAAATCAATTTGCCCGACTAATCAAGAAAACCCACTGCCCCAATTGAAAAACCTTAATTCATGTGCGAGTCCATTTCAATTTAAAAACGCGGGTCCACGACCTCCTCTCAGACTCAGATTGACAACTTTTCATTTCCATGTATTCGCTGGATAGCCTCAATTCGAATCAATTTACATTTTATTTTATGTTCAAGCTTGCCAGGATATGGAAAAAAAAAAGAGTGAATTATAATATAGTTCTTCTAATTTATCTAAACAAATTTATTAATTTCTAGAAATGTTTTTTTCATCATTTTTCCATTTTATTAAATTTCTTTTTTTCAAAGAAAATCATAAAATAGATGTAAATAAAGAATTATGTTATAAGTGGTTTTTAAAAATATAGAAATTAAATATATAATTTACGAAACTAATAGTAACTTACTCAATAGAGAAACACAAAGATTTATGACGATTCAATTCAGAAGAAAAAAACAAAAAGCAAAAATTTTTTTTTCATATTCACGAATCAAAAATCAACGAAGGCGAGACCTGGAGCCGGAGGAGGCCATGATCCCTTCTTGACCAGAAGAATTGGACACTAAACTGGGAGTGCTTAAATATACAATTGGCTCTTCCAAATTGTCGTCTTATTGATGAATACTCAAAAACTAATTAAAGGCCCCAATCATCATAACTCACTTTCATTTTTCATTAGGGTTTTGGCATTTTCTGTTTGCTCATAAGCATAATTGAAGATATAATAAATATGGGGTATCTCTTTCAATCAAATTTCTTTTTTTATTTTATCGAGAGTGAAGGTTTATTTTTTAAGTTCAGAAAGAAAATGCCCTTTTCAATTTTTATGATTTTTAATCCATGTACTGACTTTTACTATTTTAATATAAAGTAAATTAGCGATGGGAATATTCTTTTTATCAGAAAGAATAATTTATAAAATCCCAATCAGTAGCTTGTTCTCTTTTTATTTTTTATTTTTTCCATTTGATTTCATTTTGCTGTCATCTGACTGTAAAAGATTTGTGCTTAATAATGAAAAACATTTATATTATCATGATAAATAAGAAATAATTACTCTACAATATTACAAGAATTAATCCACTTTGTTTACTTTTTGATCTAGCTAGACCCAAAAAAAATATAATCATTTTACAACCAGCAATAACAAATGATTATGAACTCCATTGCTGCCTCAATACTACAGGATAAACATTGCAAAGCATATAGCATTTCAACTTACTCCAATCTAAACACTTTTCAAAAAAAAAAAAAAAAAAAAAAAAACGTTCTTTCCCTTGTGGTTTTCACCCTAACAAGCTCTCAACTTTATTACCCTGTGCCGTACATATAGTACTTAATCTTCCCAGAAGGCTCTGAGCAGAAAGGCCCTTTTTTTCACAAATCTATTGCGCAATCATTGAACTGACTGAGCTTAATTATTCTGCCCCGGGCCAGAAGGGGAGTCAGGGGTATGGCGGTCATTGGCTCCTGTTCCTGAATAATCATTGTACTCTAAATTCTCCCTCCCGGCACCTTGCTTTGTGATTGTCTGTATTTTCAGTTATCAAAAGAAAACATAAAAATTAATTTGCTTGCATCTTTCGTTGATTCAATATAAGAATTCCATAGACAGAACATTTAGCCCATGTACTGTACCTGGTGATGGGTGTTCTGATCAGAAGATAACATATCTTGACTATTATAAAATAGATGATCTTCAGTCCCTGTAAATACAAGAAACAGAATAAATAGTATTAATGACCATCCATGAACAAGATTATTGAGAGAGAGAGAGATGGGGTGATTTAACGACGCAAGTTTGTGGATTTACTTGATGAGGAGGTAACACTCCAGAAGATGAGCTGAGAAACTACCAGTAGGATTGCCAGTGGACGAAGGAAGCTGCCTGCCATTTGTAGCTACTTTTGAAGCATCGGTATTCCTTAATACATTATGAAATTTAAAATGCAAATTGTTCAGATATTTATATTGCAGCCTGTTTGTGTGTTGTGGGGACAAGCATGTGTTACCCACCAAAATTTCAGGTCGAATCCACGTTCAAATGAATGATCATGATAAAAATGAAAATAATTTAATTTCTTGAAATAATATAGTATTACTATTTTTATCGAATAAAAAACATATTACTATTGATTTTGAATTCAATGATTCGGATTAAGTAAAAAAAAACCTATTGAGGAGTTAAGTTGTTTTCATTTTTGTTATATACTAAATCACAATCACTCAATTTGAATTTAACAATTCAGATAATAGTACACGAAAAATCTTTAGAAAATCTAACAAGATATTACTATTGATTTTAAATTCAATGATTCAGATTAAGTAAAAAAAAAAACTACTAATGAGTTAAGTTGTTTTCATTTTAATTATATACTAAATCATGATCATTTAATTTGAATTTAACAATTTAGATAATAGTACACAAAAAATCCTGTGAAAATCTAACAAAATATTACTATTGATTTTGAATTCAATGATTTGGATTAAGTAAAAAAAAACTATTAAGGAGTTAAGTTGTTTTTATTTTTATTATATACTAAATCATGATCATTCAATTTGAATTTAACAATTCACATAATAGTACACAAAAAATCCTATGAAAATCTAACAAGATGTTACTATTTATTTTGAATTCAATGATTCGGATTAAGAAAAAAAATTAACTATTAAGGAGTTAAGTTGTTTCCATTTTTATTATATACTAAATCATGATCATTCTATTTAATTCTAACAATCCAAATAGTACACAAAAAATCCTATGAAGATCTAACAAAATGTTACTATTGATTTTGAATTCAATGATTTGGTTTAAGTACAAAATAAATGAACTATTAAGGAGTTAAGTTGTTTCCATTTTTATTATATACTAAATCATGATCATTGAAAATCTAACAAATTATTACTATTGATTTTGAATTCAATAATTTGGATTAAGTAAAAAAAAATTAACTATTAAGGAGTTAAGTTGTTTCCATTTTTATTAAATACTAAATCATGATAATTCAATTTGAATTTAACAATTCATATAATAATACACAAAAAATGCTATGAAAATCTAACAAAAAAGAAAGCAAGGATTGAATTTTGTATTTCGATTATGGAATTCATCAAAATAAAAAACTACAATTCTAGTTTTCCATAATAAAGCATTATAAATGATTATTTTTTCTCTATATTTTACTCATGATTTTTTTTAGGTAATATCCATATATATTCATTTATTTAGTTTATTATCTAAAACTAATCAACAAAGAATTTAATATATAAAATTTATTTTAACATGAAAATTAAAATGAACTGAATGACCTAACTGAGATAAGCACCAAAAGTCAATAAGGCAGATATCAATGCACTTGTAGTTAATGCAGTGCTGCCTACCCAACTTGGGCAGGCCTCCAAAAGCCCTTTCTTTTCTGGGTTATAGAAAGTCGAAAAGGCATACTTTCAAGCTCCGACTTTGACAAAGGAACTTTGTCTACATTGATGGGTCAAAATGGAGAGGGCCAAATGAATTTGTCAATCTACTGGTATGATTGAAGGAGTATCGATTCACTTGCCCCATCTGCAATCAGTGAAGAACAACATGGTATGAAGTGGTCAAAAAGATTTGCAAACTACTCATTACTCGACTAAAACCCACCAACCAACCATTGCAGAGGAAAGTGCAAGAGAAGAGAGAAATAATAAGGATAAGCATCGATGCTAATTACTAATGATCCTGTTATTGCCTGATACCGTTGGTAGCAAGTACTTGCCAATGGGTTTTAATGTCGAAGGAGGCGATTGGGTCATTATGACTTTGATCTCTGTCCTCGTAGTTTAAAAAAGGTTAATTTAGTCCTTAATATTTTGGATTTGAGACAAATTAAGTTGATTTCTCCCTTTATATGCAAATTATTTTATTGTTTTCCAATATGGTTTAAACTTATAAGGTCCGGCCCATGATATTTGTGATTCAAACGGCGTTCATATAATTAACATGTGTTTTTTTATTTATTCAACAGTAATTAAAATATTTTTTAATCTATTTGTGAGTTAATAAAACTAATATTTTTTTTTCAAATAATTTTAAAAACATACTCTTCTACATTAGTCTGGTGTATTAAAATAATTTAATATTTTTTTTAGTATCAATTTTAAATTTAAATTTAAAAAGTAAAAAATAAAGTAAACATTCTTAATAACGGCCAATTTTTTAAAGTTATTAGAATATGTTTTTGGGGTAAAGATTTTTATATGATCCATTTTAATAAATTGTTCATTAACTTTAATTTTATTGTTTTATTTATTAAACTATACGTTGCTCTTGACACGCATTTTTGGTGAGTCCACGATCGATCGCATCCATCGTTTCATCTTATACTATGTACTGGCTGCTGTATTTATTACGTGTTTGAGCGCTTTATGACCGTGCTATCATTTATGGTCGGCCAAAAGTAAAAAGTTGTAGTGATCTAATTAAATCGAAACTAATATTATACATTTGATTGAAAATTGACATATCGAAAAGCTACACGTGTACATAAACTCTCAAAGACAAGCTGTTGGCTTATTCTGGCGTTTGATAATTATCAGCAGTATCTAATATAATTTATTTTTAAAATATATGAAGTTATCCGTTGAAAAATATTCTTTAACTAAATTTAAAAGAAGATTAGTTTTGTCCTATATAAAAACTGATAAAAAAATATTTTTTAAAAAAAGAGCGGCCTACAATTGGCCATTGCATGCGCTAGCACTCATCAGCAATATCCATCCTTTGCCACCCCATATGACGTCCTCTAATGGCAGTTCCACTTCATTTCACTTTCCACCTAGCTTCTTCGACGCACTGAGTAAAAATCTTCATCTTCACAATCCTCTTCAGCTATTTTTTCAAATTCCAACAAGTCTTTGAGTACACATGGAAATTAATTTTATAATAGCAGGGCTTCCAAGAATAATTGCCACAGGATAAAAATCACTCCGGTTATAATAGAACGATGACCGATCAATGATGCCATAGTTTTCAACATCGATCAGCCTCCACTTTGCAGCTCAACATGGATCAGCTGTCAAGTCCATCAACTACTTGATGGTGAGTATAACAAGATTATTATTTAATTTGTTGGAAAAGATTGTTTAATTTTTTTAATCAATTTGATAATAACAAATTTCCCATACTAATATATATTGACAATTACTTCTTGATAGGGAGCTAATCATTTAAGGTTATGACTCGTATTTTATCATTTATCAGTTGACATTATAATGTGTATGAAATTTTGATGAAGAAAATTTGTTTGTAAATCAACTTTTTCAATAAAATAAAACAAAAACAAATTAAAAAAAGAGATAGTTCACTTTAAAAAAATCAACTGCCATGCATGGTGATGATGTTTTTCTTTCTTACGTTTATGCCTTTAATTAGTTGGCTTTTATAACTCAACAATTTTTTTACAAGTTAGCGTTGCTAAGTTATAAAGCCAGAATTAGTGCAAAATCTTTCATATCAAAGAACAATCTCCTGATTCTTTTGTCTAGAGCTATGATTCTCTATCTGATCAAAAAAAAAAAATCCTTTTACAAATTCAACTTATTCAAAGGATCAAATATTAATTAACATCATACAGGATTTATATTTGAAAAGCCGTAAGCAGATTGTAATTTTCTTAATACAAAACGGATAAAAAATAAAAAATTAAGACAAGACGCCGTAATTAAAATACTTTAAGTTAATATTTGTTTCTATATGTGCCTTTAGCTTTATGATGATAAAAATCTAGAAATGTAATGCCAAAACAAAAAGATTCTACAGCGTTGTGAGAAATTGTCAATATATATATATATATATATATATATATATATATATATATATATATATTTTTTTTTTTTTTTTTGTCATGTTAATTATTACGAAATACTTGAAAAAAAATTAGAAAAATTTTCTAGATGCTACATTCTTCTCTCAAGATCGGTGTTCGTTGAGTTTTGTGGTGAAGTTTTTTGTTGCTAGCTAACTTCTTTTTTCTTCTTCTTTTTCTTCTTTTTTTTTTTTTTTTTGAGAAGAAAAGTTGTTGTCTTCGATGAAATTGAAGAGCTATAAGAAGTTTTGGACAAAGTGGGACCTGCTTTTGAGTGCAGCAAGTGCTTACACCTTATAGGCCAAAGGACACAAACGGGCAAGTTGGATCATCAGGACACCACTTATGACTTGGTCTTGTTACAGAAGAGAGGAGATCTCGAGAAAGAGAGTTTCGATTTCTCTCTCTCTCCCTTATCGAGAAAACCTATAATGGAGTTGTCTCTCCTTCTGAATCGGAATAGATAGATATGTTTCTGAACCCAGCGTACTTATTTTATTTTGTATTATTGTTCTTACTATATCATAGATCTTTGTTGGTAAACCCCTTCGCCTATAGGCGGCATTTTAACTTCGCTGTCGCTCTTGACTGGGTGTAGAATTCGTGTGGTCATCGGCCTCCCTATAAGGATGCCTATAATATAGTGGTCAGCATTTCGAATGCCTCCTTCTTTAGTAGTCCAATGTAGAGGAACGGCAGCAAGACCACTAAGGTTGGCGAGTCAAAACAACTCTTCCTTGATTGACTTCCTTCTGCGGAGAGAAGGATTTCCAGCTACCCAGCAGTTCTCCCTTACCAATTTAGCTTCTAGGCGCTTTTTTAGGATAACAACCAATACACCATAGGTTGGCCCAACCCATGAGCTTGAGACTCGACTTTCGCTCGTTCTTGGGCATGTTTTTCTTGTCCACCCTCATTCAGAGCCTACTATTCATTAATTTGGTTAATACGCTCCTCTGAAGCTCATCAAAAAATTATAAAAAAGATTGAGAGTGGGAAAAGGAATGAAGAGTTTTTTTAGTTAAAAAAATACAAAGTAAGAATCAGTA